TTGTTGTTGTTGTTGTTGTTGTTGTTGTTGTTGTTGTTGTTGTTGTTGTTGTTGTTGACTTTTATTTTACTTCACCGTTGTCATCAAGTAACCTCAACTTGTGTGTGTGTGTGTGTGTGTGTGTGTGTGTGTGTGTGTGTGTGTGTATGTGTGTGTGTGTATTGTGAAAAAAGTTTCGTGGAGAGGAAGCAGATTTGTTACCTCCTGGTTTTCTCTTTGTTGGCCTCCCCCACGGGGCGACCTTTGGCCTTCTGGTCAGGGTCGTCCCTGGGTATTGACTGGCAGTAGGCTTTTCATGCCTTGCAGCCGGTTTCGCTCGGGGGGGAGGACATTCAGTGAGCTGACGACCAGGGCGGGTAATTTGTTGCCGTCACCGTCTTCTTGCGTCCTTTCCGCATCCTCCGCAGTGGCGTGGTGAGCCCTCGGATCAATCCCCAGCCACAAACAATGCAGTGGTGTTCGGCAAAACAGGTGGATTCCTGGATGAGAAAGGATACAGGTCACACTCGCAACAATTTATTCCTGCGCGGTGTATAGCTAGAATTGTGAATTTGTTGTGTTGTTTGGACCTGAATGGCCAGTCGTCGTGCGGCGATGGTGTAGTGATGTTTGCTTGCTGCGCATACTCCTCGTTGTTTCGTGAAAGTACGTCTTGTGGAGCCCTTGTGGGACGTTCGGTGCCCACCCTCCAGCTCAAGATTGTGCTTTCCTGGTTCATGAAGGCCGAAGCAGTACGCGTACAGACGTTATTGTTGAACAGAACATCATGTTCACATTAATTTTGTTCCTTTTCTCAGTCGTTGCATGTTATAGTGGACCTACAGCAGACTGTTCATCTTGTTTGTGATATTTCTTTCCTCTGTTTGTGAGTCCCTTTCCATCAATATGGCCGCTCTTTTGATTTCCTTTTTGTGTGTGTGCGTGTGTGTGTGGGAGTGTGTGTGTGTGTGTGTGTGTGTGTGTGTGTGTGTGTGCATGTGTGTGTGTGTGTGTGTGTGTGTGTGTGTGTGTGCATGTGTGTCTGTGTCTATGTATTATTTTGTATTTAATATTTAAAGGATTTCTCAAAGGCATAGCCTATCGGGGGGATCTCCTAACAGTGAAAATCATCATACTAGTGAATTGACTTGTGCAAGCAAATATATTATGCTGTTTATAATGAGCGCGAAATGGTGTCCGAAACTCTGAAACAGAATCTATAGCGGTAATATAATATATAAATAAAGAATACAAACAAACAATCTGGGGTGGAAGGCAATTCTATAATTTGCCGATTTTACGTAAGACAAGGGAAGATGAAAATTTCCCATGAGAGTTGAAAACAAGCCTGTTCGGTCTGCGTTCACTACGATAAATATTCATATCATAAAGGGATAAGATATGAGGTTGAAAGTGGATGTATTTGAAAAGAATTGTAATAGTGATGGAGGCACGTCGGAAGTGGAAGGATTCTAAGTTACACATACTGTTTATTAAACTATCTTGTGATTCATATCTGACAAATTCTAACTTGGCTGATCTTAGTAACCGTCTACACACCTTAACCTTCAGCTCATCAAACATAGCTAGGTGTGCAGTAGTTAGGGTGAGGCTCCAGACAGGAGTGGCATATTCTATTTTGGGGTGTACATATGATTTAGAAAAGCGATCCTGTCAGCTTTTCTATTATTGTGTTCACATGGCAGAAAAAACGACATCGCTATGCTACGTAAGTTTCTACGTAAGGTGCTCGGTATTTCACTTAGGCTACGTAAGTCTCTACGTAAGGTGCTCGGTATTAGATCTACCAACGCGTGGTAGCCGTGTGCTGTGTACGTGCACGGCAGACATTGTGTTCAGTGCATGCAGTCCGCGGATCCGTGTCCGGATGTGCATGCACGAGGAACTTTACTTCCTTCTTTGGAACTGCTTCTTGCATGAACTGTTTCGGATATTTCGTCTCCTGGCCTGGCTTATTTCGTTTCGGCGCTGCTGAGACCTCCTTTCGCGGAATATTACTCAATGACAGGTGAGTTGACCAGTTGCCTTTGATTCTGCTTGTGTTGACTCTTTCATTCAGGAAAAGTGTGCTGATTTTGGGGCGGAATTTAGTAATGGAAAAGTTGACAGGATCTCTTTTCTAAATTTTGCTCTTCTGCTGCCGAGCTGCGAGCCCTCCTTTTACGGAATACTCGATGACAGGTGATCTCTAAGTATTAGTTGACCGGTTTCCTTCGATTCATGTGCTTATGTTCACCTTTCATTTACGGAAACGTGTGCTGATTTTATTCGGATTTAGATCCATTTTTATCTCTTTGCCCTTGTCTACAGTGTGCGAAGAACGCGAGTTCAACTTCTTGACGGTAAGGCTAATGTTAGATGTGTTGTCGAAATACTCATATTCATTGTACATTGGTACGTTACAAGTAAGGCACTGGTCAGTGGCATACTATCGTTGGCAGTTCCCAATCTGGAGGGAAAGGTTCAAGAACCAATTGACCGAGTTTGCGAAATAAATTC